GAGATCCTCTGACATTATCACTCTCAGGTCCTTCACATTACTTTTTTGCTCTACTGTATAGTTAGAGTTTTATTGTATACCCTGACACAGCCATAATTTCCTCATATGTGAGTATGTGAGTAGTTAAAATTTCTCTTCATTGAACTTCATATTGTTTAAAGTGGCCCATTTGAAGATTTGGTTGATATCCGCTTGGAATCTTGTGGTGTCTTCGATGGAAGTCACTGTCATGCAGATTCGGGTGTCATCTGCAAAAGAAGACACGGAGCTATGGCTTACTTCTCTGTCTATGTCAGATTTGAGGATGAGGAATAGAATGAGAGCAAGTACTGTACCTTATGGAACAGAGCTTTTCACCACAGCTGCCTCACACTTTACTCTGTTTACTATTACTCTTTGTGTTCTGTTTGTCAGGAAGTTATAGATCCCTCTACCAGCTTTATCACGCAAGGGTAAAAAGCCGGCCAGTCAAAGTGATATTCAAGGCAGAATCGGCCTGATACAGGATCCTGCAGGAGAAAGCACGACTAAGGGACATACCAAAGTACTGGAGGGTGTACCTCGAACGTGTCAGGACACATGAAGAAAGGCAGAAACTGAAGCAGACGGTACACAGAGGCAAGGAGGAAAGACAGGGAAAGACAGAGATAACCAGAACACCCCAAACTCAGGAGGAAGAGCAAATACAAACTCCCTCAGAACCACCTACAGAAGGACCTCAACCACGACAACCCCAATGCAACCAAGCAATCTAACCCAAAACCCACACACCATAGTCACTGTCTCCACCCTCATCACAAACTCCACCCTCACAGTAACCCTCCATAGTTCCCTGCCAGATCTTCTGCTCTCCCAACCCCAATGTTCTCCCCAGACTACAGTTTTAGAAACGAAGTCGAAGGTTTGGTATACGAATGCGGATGGAAACAAATAAATGTGAGGAGCGGCAGGAAAGAATCAAGAAGACATCCCTAGACGTCATAGCACTCACAGAAACGAAACTCAGTGGGATGATAACAGAAGCAATCTTCCCACCTGAATATCAGATCCTGAGGAAAGATAGAGGGAACAGAGGGGAAGGAGGAATTGCACTGCTCATTAAAAATCGATAGACATTGAGGAAAAGGAAGGAATGGGCGAAATGGGCGAGAGGGACTACATAGTAGGTACAATTCAGTCTGGGGGACATAAAGTAGTCATTGCAGTGATTTACAACCTGTCACAGAGCTGCAGGAGGTCAAGAGAAGAATATGAAGAGAGCAACAGAGCAATTATGGATATACTAGCTGTGGTGGCCAGAAGAGCTCACGTCGGTAGAGCAAAGTTACTAGTTATGGGTGATTTCAATCACAAGGTGTGGCATGGAAAGAGTATGTTACAATTCATTCAGCATTTCTACACACTACCATACAGGCTGCCTCCCAACCAGCGAACTGGGTGCTATGGGTTTAACGATTGGTTCATTGACCAATCACAGGCCAGCCCGCCATGTGCCGAGGCGATGTGGTTCACTCGCAGTCAGCATTTGCCAGACTTGCCTAGTATCTGGTTCATTACGGTGCTCTCTCTCTCTCTCTCTCTCTCTCTCTCTGGCTTCTGTTTTTCCATTATTCGTCACTGTGGTATACTTATATTCAGTTCCTGTACATAGAGTACATAAATGTACATTATTCTATATATCAGGTGAAGGAAATACAAGTTAAATATTACTGCTGAGATTGTTTTGCTCCGAAACCCCATTACGACCAGGTTACAGGCCATTCTTTGCCTGTGTTCATAATAAAAGGAGATTGGGAAAATCTGGAGCCACATGGGGGTCCCGAAACATGGAGAGCCAAGATGATGGATGTAGTACTGGATAACCTCATACATCAACATGTTAGGGACCCTACCAGAAAGACAGGTGAGCATGAACCAGCAAGACTGGACCTCGCTTTCAACCTGAGTAGCTCAGACATCGAGGACATCACATATGAAAAGCCCCTGGGATCTAGTGACCACATGGTTCTGAGCTTCGATTACCTAGTAGAGTTACAAGTGGAGAGGGTAACAAGAGTAGAATGTGAAAAGATAACCATAAAAGGAGGGACTACACAGGCATGAGGAAATTCCTGCAGGAGGTTCAGTGGGAAAGAGAATTAGTTGGAAAATCAGTAAACAAAATGATAGACTACGTGACAACAAAATGCAAGGAGGCAGAGGAAAGTTTCCTTCCCAAAGGCAATGGAAATAATGGGAAGACCAGAATGAGCCCTTAGTTTATCCAAAGGTGTAGGGAGGCAAAAACTAAGTTTGATAGAGAATGGAATAAGTACAGAAGACAAAGGACCAAGGAAAATAAAGAGATTAGTCGAAGAGCCAGAAAGGAGAATGCATAGATAAGCAGGGAGGCCCAGCGACAGTTCAAAAAGGACATAGCATCGAAAGTCAAGTCTGAGTCGAAGCTGTTGTATAGCCACATCAGAAGAAGGACAATAGTCAAGGACCAGGTAATCAGGCTGAGGAAAGAAGATGGGGAGCTCACAAGAAACGACCAAGAAGAATGTGAGGAGCTCAACATGAGATATAAGGCAGTATTTACAGTGGAATCAGAAAGGGCTCATGGAAGTCAGAATAGAGAGGTACACCAACAAGAAGGAAGTAAAGAAACTGCTAAGGACCAGGCTATATCTGTCAGTGAGTCCTAAGTGAGGGAGCAGAGACACTGTGTGCGCCACTAACAACAATTTTCAACACATCCATTGTAACTGGAAGACGGCAAATGTAGACCCCATATTTAAGAAAGGACAAAGACACGAGGCACTAAGCTACAGACCAGTGTCACTCACGTGTATAGTATGCAGAATCATGGAGAAGATTATCAGGAGGAGAGTGGTACAGCACGTAGAATGGAACAAGCTTATAAACGACAACCAACACTAATTAAGGGAAGGAATATCCTGTGTTACAAACCTCCTTGAGTTTTATTATAAGCTAATGGAAGTAAGACTCGAGAGAGAGGGCTGGGTAGATTGCATTTTCTTGGACTGCAAGAAGGCCTTTCACACAGTTCCTCACGAGAGATTAGTGCAAAAGCTAGAGGATCAGGCACACACCAGGTACAGGTGAGCACAAATAGGTGAGTGCACACACACACACACGCAGACGGAGTACAGTCTAGGGGCCAGAGACTACAAACCTCACTCAAGGAAAAAGATCTTGGGGTGAGAATAACACCAGGCACATCTACTGAAGCGCATGTCAACCAAATAACTGCTGCAGCATATGGGCGCTTAGCAATACTCAGAACAGCATTCCGACATCTTAATAAGGATTAGTTCAGGACCCTGTACACCGTGTACGTTAGGCCCATATTGGAGTATGCGGCACCAGTTTGGAACCCACACCTAGACAAGCACGTAAAGAAACTAGAGAACGTGCAAATGTTTGCAACAAGACTAGTGCCAGAGCTAAGAGGTATGTCCTACGAGGAGAGGTTAAGGGAAATCAACCTGACGACACTGGAGGACAGGAGAGATAGGGGGGACATGATAACGACATACAAAATACTGAGAGGAATTGACAAGGTGGACAAAGACAGGATGTTCCAGAGATTGGACACAGTAACAAGGGGACACAGTTGGAAGTTGAAGACACGTGAATCACAGGGATGTTAGGAAGTATTTCTTCAGCCACAGAGTAGTCAGCAAGTGGAATAGTTTGGGAAGCGATGTAGTGGAGGCAGGATCCATACATAGCTTTAAGCAGAGGTATGATAAAGCTCACGGTTCAGGGAGAGTGACCTAGTAGCGAACAGTGAAGAGGCGGGACCAGGAGCTCGGACTCGACCCCTGCAACCTCAACTAGGTGAGTACAACTAGGTGAGTACACACACACACACACACACACACACACACACACACACACACACACACACACACACACACACACACTACAAAGGGATCTGGACAGGCTGCAGAACTGGTCCAGCAATTGGCTCCTGGAGTTCAATCCCACCAAGTGCAAAGTCATGAAGATTGGGGAAGGGCAAAGAAGGCCGCAAACGGAGTACAGTCTAGGGGGTCAGAGACTACAAACCTCACTCAAGGAAAAAGATCTTGGGGTGAGTATAACACCAGGCACATCTCCTGAAGCGCACATCAACCAAATAACTGCTGCAGCATATGGGCGCCTAGCAATCCTCAGAACAGCATTCCGACATCTTAATAAGGAATCGTTCAGGACCCTGTACACCGTATACGTTAGGCCCATATTGGAGTATGCGGCACCAGTTTGGAACCCACACCTAGCCAAGCACGTAAAGAAACTAGAGAAAGTGCAAAGGTTTGCAACAAGACTAGTGCCAGAGCTAAGAGGTATGTCCTACGAGGAGAGGTTAAGGGAAATCAACCTGACGACACTGGAGGACAGGAGAGATAGGGGGGACATGATAACGACATACAAAATACTGAGAGGAATTGACAAGGTGGACAAAAACAGGATGTTCCAGAGATTGGACACAGTAACAAGGGGACACAGTTGGAAGCTAAAGACACAGATGAATCACAGGGATGTTAGGAAGTATTTCTTCAGCCACAGAGTAGTCAGTAAGTGGAATAGTTTGGGAAGCGATGTAGTGGAGGCAGGATCCATACATAGCTTTAAGCAGAGGTACGATAAAGCTCACGGCTCAGGGAGAGTGACCTAGTAGCGATCAGTGAAGAGGCGGGGCCAGGAGCTCGGACTCGACCCCCGCAACCTCAACTAGGTGAGTACAACTAGGTGAGTACACACACACACACACACCACAAAGACACACACAACTATTCTCTCTATTTCTCAGGTAAGAACATACGAATGAAGGTACACTGAAGCAGACCTACTTACTCATTCCTTCTGAAATACATTTCCCACCTACATATTTGTCCAACGGATTCCCAAGGCTACTCAAGAAATTAGCCTCAGAAATTCAAGTCCTCTAGCCTCTCTCTCTTTATCTCTCTCCTAGCATCAGTGCTTACCCCAAGAAGGTATGTGAAGATTACTGGCGACATGTTTAGCTACTTTCTCAGGGAAGCCACCAGAGTCTCCAGATGGTCCATAGTAGAGCTGCAAATTTCCTCTCTGGTTCTCAGGAACATAGCAGTATCCCTGTAGCCAGATGCCGTAATTCTCACAGACGTACTCCCTCAGCTTCATTTCATTATGTGATCTGAATACGGTCGTCTGTACCAAGATTTAATAATAATCAGTGATCCTTACTTTTTTAAAAAATTATGCAGAATGAAAATGTATCTATATAACTCTCTCTCTCTCTCTCTCTCTCACTCTCTCTCTCTCTCTCTCTCTCTTTCTCTCTCTCTTTATATATATTATATATATATATTATATATATATATATATATATATATATATATATATATATATATATATATATATATATATATATATATATATATATATATATGCAAAACAACCACTGTGAAAGAGTGATAAAATTCCAAGCGCTTTCGTGACTACTCACATTGTCAAGGAACTATGACATAGTTCCTTGACAATGTGAGTAGTCACGAAAGCGCTTGGAATTTTAATACTCTTTCACAGTGGTTGTTTTCCTTATTTTAAAATCACCTTTTTACTGTGATCTTATTGCATATATATATATATATGTATATATATATATATATATATATATATATATATATATTATATATATATATATATATATATATATATATATATATATATATATATATTTATATATAATATATATATATATATATATATATATATATATATATATATATATATATATATATATATATAAATATATATATATATATATATATATATATATATATATATGTCGTGCCGAATAGATAAAACTGGTCAATTAGCAGGAGCTCATCTAAAATAAAGTCCTTACTAAAATATTCTCTTATAAGTTTATAGATATATTTTTGTTATTTATGCTATTGTAAAAGCCAATAATTTTGTACCCAAACAACCTTGGAAAATTTCCCTAACATTATAATAACATTTAATTTAACCTAATCTAACTAAAAATATTTTAGAAAGGTTTACAATAATTAAACAATTACAAACACAATGAAATTATTGCATTCACAAATTTTCGCTTGCCTCATTCGGCAAGAAGAGCGTTGTTATTTAACACAAAATCGCTAGTTTTACGAAATCGGTTGCCCCTCCTTCATTCCTGGTGTACTGGAGATAGGTATCAGCCAAGGTAGATGCACATGTGTGGTCCCACACCACCTGCTTGCCGTCTGTCCAGGCTTAAAGGGTGATACCAACTGGACGCTTTTGACTTCCATCAGATCTCCATATTTTGGATGACTTCCTTGCTGCTGGGCATCCAGCTTTAGTGAGGCTCCTTTTGATATTTATATATGCAGTGGAACCTCTGGTCAAGAACATTTCCAAACACAAACAAATCGGTTCACAACCAAAAAATTCTCCAAATTTTTGCATCTGGTCACGAACACATAATTGAGGGCCAAACTAAAACAACCACACCAATTTTCACATTCTGCACCATATTTTTTTTTTTTTTGCCGCGTTAATTTTCCCCACTTCCTATTGTTTACTAAACCTAAGAAAGACCGTTGCCTTGTAGTCGGTCTCGGTCAGAATTACACTGATTCACCTCTTATCACCACCTGGTTTTTTATATTAGAGAATACGTAGTTTAATACAGTGCTAACTGTGATATACACTCGTAATGCACCATAAAACTAAGTAAGTTTATTTAGGTATACACAATTACGGTTACATAAATTATCATACATAGCAGCATATGTGTAGAGAACCTTGTACAACCCAAAAAAGTCAGAGTGATTTATTATCTTGATCTTTTTTTCGGTGCGTACTCGTTTTCGTCGATTATCTCAGAAGTAAGTTATTCGTAAATTACAGTAATTACGACCGTTATAAATTCGGATTAGCAATGTTTTATAAGCAGGTAGTGCACAAACAGCTTCTCACAATGCCAGTACCCGGCTAGGACTTACCATATATGATTTGTGGTAAATAATTTTTTTCTCAGTTGTTTGTTGGGCTGTCTTATTGAAACTTGGTCAATGTATGATGGAAAAATTCTTCTTGACGTACATCAAAAATGAAAGAAATCGGAAGGTAAATAACGGAGTTCACTTCTCAGTCATTAGACGTCTCTTAAAACTAAAAAAAAAAGATGTTTACAGCGAACGGTTCGTCGGAGTCTAGAAAGGACTTGTGCAGTGTTAGTTTTCTCTGTTGTTCAAGGTTTTTACATTTAGTTTAGTATTACACTGTGCATTCTATGGAATAATTAACTATTTTTGTGCTTAAAAATCTTAAAAAAAAAAATATTTACATGCAGGTCGTAGGGCCTGGGACGGATTAATCGTATTTTCATACAGTCCAGGGGGGGAAATTAGGTTCCGGTCACGACCAAATCGAGTAAAGACCAGAGTTTTGGAACGAATTATGGTCGTGATCAGAGGTTCCACTCTATCTACCCATCTATCTATATCTATCTATATCTATATCTATCTCTCTCTCTCTCTCTCTCTCTCTCTCTCTTATATAATATATATATATTATATAATATATATATATATATATATATATATATTATATATATTATATATATTATATATATATATATATATATATATATATATATATATATATATACATATATATTTATATATTATATATATATATATATATATATAATATATAATACATATATATATATATATACATATATATATATATATATATATATATATATAATATATATATATATATATATATATATATATATATATATATATATATTATGTATTTATATATATAATGTATTTATATATATTTAATGTATAATATTACTACTACAAATAATAATCATAATAATAATCTTTATTTCTACAAGTACATACGCAATGTACACAGGTCTGGCTTATATCAATGACATACTAATATATATAGAAAGCCCCTTGTTATACAAAGCATTTCAGGATAATTAGGTAAATTTTGACCCCAGGATTCGACGCACAACAGTCGACTAAAACCCAGGTACATATTTTACTTCTACGCAAATAGGAACAGGAGTTGTCTTAGGGAAACACGTCGTAATGTTCTCACCCGTACCATGGATCGATCCACTGAGTCTTCCCACTGTCGTGTGTTTGGTCCTCTGTCTCTCTTCTCTTTCCTTCCACTGTTTGACATTACTGTGCGATCTGAACTCTCGTCGACACTTATTATTTTATTTAGGTGAAATACCTAAACTCATAGGGATCACACAACTCCTAGTAAATGGAAGGCACTCAGGTTTGATCCAAAGGATCAGCGAGATATGTTCAACTTCTTAAATTATGAGTTCCTCACCAATGTTCTTCCAGTCAGAGGAAGATTGTACATGGGCAAATATACGTTAGGCAATGTAAGACTAGTATTAGTTGTGGGATCTACAATAATAAACTTAAATCCACAAAACACAAAGCACCACGAGGGTTGGAAACAGTTCCTCCTTCTCTTCAACTACCTTATAAATGACTTAAATTACATTTCTATATTTTGTAGCAATATAGCTATCCCTTAACACCTTCATAAGGAGGATTTATTAACTCTATGATTGATATAAATAAATAAATTAAATAGTGAATGAAAATTGTGTTTGTAAGTTTAGCCCAAACAAACGATCGGGTCACCTAATGGAAATCTCTCTGTAAGAAACCCAGGCACACTCACCGTGTTGATGTACTCAGGTACAAAATCAGAATTTGGGATGAGTCTGATGAACAGGATGACAGAGAAGAGAGCAGTGGGGAGGAAGAGCTCAAAGAAGGTGAGGAGCCAGTGTCTCTGTCTTAACACCAAGTTCTTCCACAGCAACAGCACCAGATGCCGCCACACACTGCGCTTGCGTCTCATGC